TTAGACACATTAAAACAAATGACTCGATTTTTTAGAAAAACCAAAACTCCAAGTATCCTTGCCATATGAACAAAATTTGTACTGCACTTCATTTTCATTAAGACTTGTAAATAACATTTTATAGCCAATCGATTGTAGTTTTAGTGATAAAATGAAATATTGGTTTACAAAACAACAAGATTGAATTATATCAAACCGACAGAAGCATGTCATTCCAATAAAGTGACGTCATTGCACTGTACAACAAAAAGTCTGATTCCAGTGAAATTTAATTAAACATATCGTCTATATTAATATTATTAAATAAACTTATTTGGTTGAGAACGGAGTACAAGCAGCAAGTGAATTCCTTAAAAAGACGCTCTTCTACTAAGGATTATTAGCTGTTCTTCTAGAATAACTCTATTTAGTGCGTCGTTGTTGCCGAACAAAAGTGTCTATTGCTTGGGAGGTTGAAATAGGTCGGTGAATAATTCTGAAATATTAATGTGTAATACTAATACCAAAAAAAAAAGTTTGAATGTGGCGCATGCCTGCAGCGCCAAATAGAATTCAGGCTGTGATTGCTGCCAATGGAGGACATAAATATTGATGTATTAATTCCGAATATAAAATATAATTGACTGTGGTCTTAATAAAATTTTTTTTATTGCTAAAAATAAAAGCATGCAATGCTTTGTCACTCCCCTGTGCATGTAAATAATGGTATGATAAATGATGAAGATCTAATCGTACTTACTGGTAAAATAAGCCTGCCTCATCTATATTGAGTATATCTTTTAAATCATAACTTCTTTAATTTGGTTATAGTTTTAAAAATCACAGCATTATCTGCTGATGCAGCTTCTCCATTTTTTGACTTGCTTAAGTCCATGTCTCTTTTTAAACCCGGACAACCAACCAGAAGAAAACTTGAAATCGTCGGGTATATTCAACAATTGTGAAAAGTCTTTGGCTTTTTGCATCAATATCACATTAGTTAATATTCTTTGGCCTGCATTTGTATAACCCATTCATATAGTGCATTTTCTAAGTTTGGATGCTGAACCGTTCTATGTCTTTTTGCTGAAGGATTCCTGATGATACTCTTTTCTTTTTAGTAAACGAGAAATTGTACTTGAATGTACATTTAGTTGGTCGTCTAGGCTCCAGCATTAAAACGAACACTTGATTCTTAGACGTCACGTTCAGTAAAGGTTCAAATTATAAATGACGGGCTGCTGCTTTGGTGCTCTGCTTTTTCGATTTTGTCCCATACACAAACAAGACAAAAGTCCGAAATGAGGCGAAATAGAACCGCCGTTTTTTGTCATAGATTTGCAACCCCATTGATTGCCTGTTGTTTGATTCTAGTCAACGCCGTTCTGAGACAAGGCATAGTGAAAAACCGGGTGATATAAAAACCATTTGACTTGGTTCATTCTATTCGTCATCGTATTCCTAAGAGCAATATTAGCTGGAATTTGAATTTGACGGCCTCGACTGTTTACAAAATAGATCCTTGCTATATCAGTGGTTATCCTTTCGATAATTGTTCGAACGTTGTCGTCGGGATGGATGAAATTAATATTGTCGTTTTTGTAAGAAAAATTGCCTTTATAGGGCATGCTGCTGGAGTGAACTTAATTGAATTCAAAGCTTCTAGAATTGTAGTAATGAAACCAGTAATACTGATAAATGAGATAAATGAACGACCGGAGGAAAGTCAGTTAATGAAATTTGCGTGAATCGGGATAATATTATTTTTTTCACTCATGTGACATTAACGGGGACATCAATTGCATTTTTGGTCAGTAAACGACAGCGTTGAAGTTTGTTTATTTTTCACGCTTTCTAACAAAATTTCATATTTTAACAATTCAAATTAAGAAGAAAAAAGTGTATTTTATTAATGTAGCGCACCTCGTTTGCTCTTACTATATACTTCAGAATTGCAATATTAAAAAGGCCCCTGACCATTGGACTATGAGGGCATACGAAAAAATTGGGTGTCTAAAAAAAATTATTATTTTTTTAACGGCGGCGAAAGCACAGAATGGAGGCCGCCGTTGATTATGATCCTATAACGTCTCCAGGACTATGAGATATAAAGGAAATAAATATCTAGAAAAACTTTAAACGATGACGGAATCGCAAATGGTAGTCATTTTGATTTTGCATTGCGATCATCGTGAGGACATGCAAGAAAAAATTATGACACCAGAAAGGCTAATACCTAAAAACAGTTTAAATGACGATACAAATGTGAATCCATTGTCGCATTGAATGACCCCCACCTGGTGTGATTTTGTCCGTTCATCATCCGTGCTGCTAGTAAGAAGAACAATTTGAGAGATGGATGAATGTTCGCAAAGAATACTGCAAATTCTGACAAATTTACATATGTTTTTTATTACTTTACATATATTCCAAAAGACGGTTTGCATGCTAGATAATGGCAATCTGTTTGGATATGAGATAACTGAACGATGGGGGGAAAAGCGCTGACATGTTGATATAGACCAATCCGATAAACATAAGTCAAGTGCGGACGAGTAACGTATAAGATATATTGAGGTCTACTTTGATTTACTAATTGATATAAAGTAAATTAGTACTATCTTTATGATCACAGTGATACTATCATGATGAAATCCGAAAAAAACCGGCGGCGGAAAAAATCGCAGAAGCCATGAGTTTATTAGAATTCTTTGTCAAAGAATGAAAAAAAAAAAAGCCGTGTATTTAAAATGGGCGATGCGGTACTTTATAAAATACCTCACATTGACCGGATAGATCCTTAATTTTGTCGCGTGATTGAGATTCCAAAGCCAGTTTATTACAGACTTGAGTGTCAGACTGGCAAACTTTCAGTATATGACAGAACCACACAAAAAAAATGTAATGTCAATAGAACTTGATGGCGTGCGAGCAGCTGCAAACGCTCCACCAAACAGAGTGTCATGCGTAAAGGTTTGCGGAGGGAGGTCGTTGTAAGTTCTTGCAGACATAGGTGTCACAAAGTGAAATTCGGCATTGCTAAATCGTATAGGCGGTTTGATTTGTTCTATATATAGTATTACAATCATGCATATGTGGTATTTAAATGGCAATGCATATGTGATATCGCTATATTGTATTACCAAATATTTCGTAATAGTAATACTACAAGAACATAATGCCACATATTACACTACATGATTGATTGTGTCACAACGGTTTTGAACAACGAAATAGTTACATTAGCTTCCATTAAAAATACCGACGCTTCCAATCAAATCTGAACGAAATTCATGACATTGGCGTCAGTTTTTGCATCATTCGCTAGAGTTTTTTTTTTACCTCTCACTCTCGAGTTGTGCGATTAAATTCGTAAGTAGATAATCATCATATTACTACCAACAATATCAAACAATGTCCTTCCTTTAACAAAGGTCAATGATTTTTGCCTTATCTTTACGAAACTCGAACTTTTGCACTGTTATCAGTAAACACTCACTGTTGTATTCTTACACCGTAATAATTACTGGTTCGCCAAGACTTGTCGTTGAGCACACTTCTCGATACATTTTGTAATTACATACAAACTTCTGCTTCGATAAGACTTTTTCTCGTGATTATCAGGTTTTGTCTTTTACAATAACTCTATCTGAATAAAAGGCTGTCAAATTTAATTAGTGAATTATAAATAGCATAATAGAAGTTTTGCAAAGTAAGCATTGCTTATCATTGAATCTCGTGCTTGGCAAACAAGCCGGGAATCAAGTATAAACAATGGTAAGCTCTAATAACCCATTAACACAGACGTTGAACTATCTCACAAAGTTCAAATTTAGCAAATACGTGTTTTTCTGCAAATTGCTTGAAATTGCTATTTCGAAGATTCGAAATATAGAAGCATATAAATTTTTAAAAATATCTGTCGATCGATTCGGAGATAAGTTCTGCCAACAATTTTATATTTAAAAAATCGGATCTACAAAATCAGTAGAAAGCGAGATAAGGTTTTGTATTTTACTAATATGTATACAATCAAGACTTTTTTGGCTGATATAGCGCAATAAGGAAGAATTAATTTCTGATAAAAATATCCTCAAACTATTCAAGCTTAATCACAATCTCTACTACATTATCTTTCGAACACACAATGGCTTGTACACATCTTATATAACTTCCCTTTTATACTCCTTGGCATTTGAAAAGACTCATTATTATGTACGACAGTCATTATGTAAACTTTGATAGAACGGCCAAGCCTGTTGTTGTGCGCGTGCTTGGTTCTAAACCCGTATTTATAATTGTTTCGGCGACATCATGCGTCGTTAAAGACGTTTATTGGTACAGCACTCTTTTTTTTTTTCTGGATTCGACGTTTGTGTTTGCCTTTGAAAAATACGGGGTGGGGAGGGGGAATTTGGTTATATTAGAATGGGAGAATTTTCTTGATCTGATGATAAAGAAAGGAGAGTGGTGACGGATTCAATGTCAATTTATATTAATGGTAGTGTTGTAGTGAACACAACAGTTTGATGAGGAGATTTACCGTAAGCAATCGAAGAGAGTGAAACGAACACTACATGAGAGGTACCATTAAAAATGTGAGACCACTACACTAGGCCTTGGCAAAACATCGGATTTGTTCGGCTAAGACCATATTCAAAAAATAAATATTTATGTAATCTCATTATACGATAAAGAATAAAACTGATTATATTTATTTGTATGTGTACGTTTATGTTAGTATATATTGTTTACTTATTTTTTTTATACAATCTTAATGCTACTATAAAAAACATTTATATTCCCACCAGCTCCATTACGTTTACTATATTTAAAAATTTTATAATACAAAAAGACAAAGGATAAATAAGGCGTTGCCTAAACAGTTGCGCTGATAATTGTGAAACTTTAACTTACATAAATACCTTTAAACTAAACATCTGGCTCTTCATATTAATTTTCATGTTGACATCAGCACATTCCTTTATTAATCAGTTTCATGAGAATCGCGTCATTTAATAATGCATGAATCAAGATCAACTCTTACTCCTCCCGAAACAGTCACCGCGGCGTCGCCCCCGTCGACTGCCCCGCTCACACCCCAGTCCGACACTCGGTCGATCATAGAGAGTCTAAACCCGAAGGATCAGTCGCTCTTAAAAAACCCACCGTATCCGCTAACTCTCTGTCTCGAGGAACTGGTAGCTCCAGGCACAAAACCACGAAAGTCTAGACGTAAAGACGATAGCACTCCGCCCAGGCCTCAGAATGGGTTTATTATATTTCGAAAAGATTGTGACGCTAAACTACAGTTGATCTATCCTGATGGAACATTTAACAGCCAGATAATCTGTAAAAAGGTTGGAGAGGAATGGCGACGACAGCCCCCGATTGTGAAGAGATTTTTTCAAATACTTCAAAAGATAGCCTTTGAAAAGCACAAAGCATTGTATCCTGATTACAAATACACTCCCAAGAAAAGAAAATCGTTTAAATGCGAGAAAAAGTTTGATATGTACGGGGAGCTGAAAGGATATCGATCAAAATATACACCGGTATTTGCTGCTCCATATCGTCTACTGAATCTCCAACAAATGGCTGTGGATCCGTCCATAATCACTGGAATTCCTCCTTCGATGACTAGCGTCGTTCAGTCTCACCCGATTGTGACTAACCACTCGGTACAATATGAAATGCCTTGCCTTGACGACTACGATTTCTCAAAGGACAGAGAAGAGAATGATGGTGGGCTTCTACATTTGGCTGTAGAGGAGATTCCTAACTACAGAATTTGAAGCCATTCGATTGCTGATTTTATTTTCATAATCTATCTCCTATTATTTTTTATATTCTCCCTTTAATTTTCTCTTCTTGTACACAATTTTTTTCTGCACATCCTTTATTTCCTATTCCATTCCCCTTTCTACCCTCTACCCTCTAGTAACGATCAATGGCAGAGTTACTTGTCTGTTCTTTGCTTTCTTTATTCAATTTATAAGATTTATTACTTCGTCAATCATAAGTTCATCTTCTTTTCACCTGGCACTGTCTATTGTCCTGTAGACTGTGTACAGATTAGTTTTGATTCTATGGCATATGGTAACATGAATGTTGAGTATCTAAGTTTGACATTAAGAAATGTCGTAATTCTGAAGAATGTCGTCTAAATAAGCTAAAGAAACCATTTTAAAACTCAATAAAATGATTGAGGATCCCCAGTTTGTTGTTGTAATATAACGAGTCTTTTCAATCTTGTTCGTATATTCATGGAGTATGTATTTACCAAGCGCAGATGCATGAAATCTTACCATTTATCACGCAACGGGTAAAGAGAGATTCTACTGTTAAAAATGTGTACGGCTGACAAGCATAAAGTAATTACAATGCATACATGAAACATTTGTGACTTGACCACTTTGACAGTTTGAAATGTTTTGTATACAGCCAAAGCATATCACTAGTACAATATTAGCAATACCAACGACGTCATCATTACAAGCAATTTTATATAACGACAAACCGAAAGAGAAGGACGGGAACGTCTAAACCAGATTGGCACAAAAAAAATTTTTTTTCTTCCGCAGAAAATTCTTGTACCAATAGCTCATTCCTTAATAATATTATGCATATACTGTACTTGGGAAAGATTCAACGACACTCGTTGTGTATTTGTCTTTGTCTTTATTGGATTGTTAATTATTATGTGTATGTAATCAACCAACAAATCGTCTTGGCATATAATTAAACAAGTGAATATATCCAGTTTGGTTGATTCTGTGTTCAATGTAGTTATAAAACAGTCGGCAGAAAAGTCGACTTGTCACTTAATAATTTAATTTTTTGCCTCGATATTATTGTATATTAGTATAATAAAGGCATATTGACGCACATTATACAAAATACGGAAATTTTGTCGTGTCCCACCCGTCATTTGATAAGGGAACAGATACGGTTGGAGATATACTGTAAAAAGAAATTTATCTGCAGCCAGCAATTTGAAATTACTGCAACCTTAAATATGCGGGGAGGTTTCGGCCACAGTACTGTTACTTGAGAGTATGACATGTAATTTTTAACATATTGGCGATCGGTTTTATATAAAGCTGTGCCGAGAAGCCGATCTGCTTACTTTTGTGTAGCACTAATTATAAGATTGGAAATTAAAATTAATAATAGTGCATTTGTTTAGATCTACGATCTTTTTTAATTCCTTACCAATGAAATCACTGATAAACGGTCAGGGGTATCTTCTCTCTGTCTTGGGGGGAGGCATTTATTTCATCGACAATCATTTCATCGACAGTACACTTCACCGACTGTCATTTCACGTGACACATTGTTTATCGCACTTATCATTGGTTTTCGATGAAATTTATGTCGGTGAAACGTACTGTCGGCGAAATGATTGTCGATGAAATGAACCGGACCCGTCTTGGGTAATCCGTTAATCAAATATCGACATTATTGGAGAAAGTTTTTTACAAACCAATGAATATTGTCCACATAATAATAATAATTCAATCGAAACTTTCACGATTTTTAATTTACTCGCATGCGTTAATGTATATGTCATATGTAAATCCCGTCACTATGTAAATCCCGTCCATGGTCCCCAAAACCGCATTTACATATGTAAATCCGGTATTTACATAGTGACGGGATTTACATATAACATATATACTACAGTCAGCATCCTATACAGTCACACCTCCTATACGGTGTGAGTCACTGTCACCCGATTTTCCCTTTATAGTCACCAGTATTAGTATTGTATAACATTCAAGGTTTAGTGTTTATATTTCCATATTCAGCATAAAGTGACCGAAAGATTGAAAATTATGATACATTATTGTTGCTCTACAAGCACGTAGAAGCTTATTTAAAACAAGACCTCAGCTGAGTCTTGATAATAAACGTGAGATTTGTGAATATGTTAAACAACATCCAAAGCAGTTTAATGAGAAATTCATATTTTCTATAGAGTATCTACTGTTAACAATCAAAGCATCAATAACAAATTGTCACTTACTTTGGAAATAGTTAAAGAGAAAAGAATTAACATCAATGGCATTTCAAAAGCGAGAGTTAATTATCTTTAGTATAATAAAATTTGGCATATTCTAATAATATTATCTTAATCACATGACCTACGCAAACCCTCATACAGTCACATTTCCATACAGTCACCAGTTTTGCCTGATTCCGACGACGGTATGACTGTAGGGGAGGTCGACTGTATCGACTTTTTACAGAAAGTTTGAACGTGCTAAATATCAAGTATAATAATTTAATTTTTAAAATTTAATTTAACCTGGTACCAAGCCGCGATAATGAAGTGAATCAGAAAGTACAATCATCATATTCAAAGGCTTGGATAACCTCCCTCTATGCGTATGAGAATTCAAACACCCTTATAACTATGTAATGCATAACCATCGGTAATACCTGGAGCTTTGAGAATACCCGGCAATATATATTTAATTAAACGTAGCACATACAGCTTATCTCGTAGAACGTTGTGCTAATTGTAATCTGTCATACTAACGGCTAATCTTAATCTTAATATGTACGTTGAGGTTAAAATAGCTGTGTCACGCGCCATAACGACTCTTTGCTATCTACTGCGATATCAGTAGTAGCACAACCTATTTTGTTGCACATTCGGATTTAGCGGATGACGGGTGACAGGGGTAAACAACAACTGTGCGATTACGAGCTTATTACAACGATATACATCTGGGTAGAATCGATTTTGGCCATCAATTCTCGATTTTGGCAAATACGATTACTAATTATTACTAATAAACGCGCTTAATTTGTATACCAATTCCCCGATGTAATCTACGGACAATGGAACTAATCCCATCGATAGAGGGTAGAGGCGTAACAGCAGTGTAATTGACAATCGAGGACCTGCGTTATACAGACTGATTAATTGGAGATATGCCAGTTTTAGGGTCACCAACTGTATTAGCGATTTAAGCAGGAGTAGAGGTTAGCCAAACCTCGATCAAAAGAGCTAAATCCCAGGCAATTACTAAACGCGTTCTCTCGCGGTAGTTGGCTCGACAATGCTGGGTTCCGAACTGATATCGTCTTGCACTCATTATACGTTAAATGTTATTTTCCGTGATACATCAAATATTGTAATATTATCTTGTCAATGATTGCAACTACAGGCTCCCAGCAAAACTTCTAAAATTGTCTAGTAAGAATTTAGGTGTATAAACAATATAATGATAATAAATTCTCAAGGTATGGACTATTGACAAGGCAGACTCTAACAATTATTAATATTCTCCTTAGTGAATAACTCTAGTTGATGTTAAATTGTGGGAATAATGTAGGGTAAAGTTGATCCAAATGTCTTGACATTTAAGAGAATTATGTGTAGAGAATCCTTGTTGTATTTATTATAACAAGTATAAACCAAAATTTAAGCAAATTGTAAACCTTTTTTTAGCAGGCTCTATCTATATTATTTATTTTTGCTTTTCACTCAATGGTAATATTTAAAATATGTTCACACTGCTATTCTCTAATAATGTTGATTTTTATATGCAAACATCAACTCTAGTAGAAATGTATACGGTATGATAATTTAATTCATAAAGTTAACTTTTGATAACAAGACAATATTGAATAATAAAGTTTAATTGTTTGTTTGTTTGCTTTTACATTTTAATGGTTAGAAAACCGCAACACAAACCCATAACCGCCTTTTTGAAGCATTAACCTTATTTTACATATGTTACGTTAGGTTGTTTTGAACTTGGCTCTATGTCTTAATTTTAATGTTATGTCATCATTAGCAACTTTGAAATACAAGCAAAATGAATCAATGGCATCGCATGCACTTACGTCTTTGGTTGAAGTATCGCTATCGTATACTGGATCAATTTCCTGCCATATTTCCCGCTTGGTTCGATGCCTCAAACTAAAGACACTGAACAAATGTTTGGTCCAGGACAGTCTTGCACTAAACTTACTAATATCAAGACCAGCGTTACTTTTAACATATTGTTAAAAATTTTTTTGTTAAACCAATCTTTTCTTTCAAGAAACGATTAGAATGTATGTGGTATTAAAAGATTTGACTAACCAGTAAAGATTGAGTAATTGATCCAAAAACTAGTAAGCAGCACACACATAATTTCGTAACATGTTACTAATCTTCTGAATAATTGTCTATTTCTTGCAGTAAGACATCTTGTCGTTTTCCCAATGACTCCATTCAGGTATATTGAACGAATCAATTGTACGCATACAAGAAATTGGAAGCCTTCAGATGTCTCTATGACGGAATTTACAAGAACAAGCGAGCAAAGTTTTTGGCAAAAAGTTTTAATACACATGCGCAATACTAAATACAAGCAGACCAATTAATATATGTGCGCAATAAAGAACACGAAAAGCGAATTAATTATTTACTCTGGTCACCAGCGCTATTGTTCGGTCTTATTTAGTTTGGTTCTACAATAAACATATTATAATTTTCGCCAATTACAATGAGTTTGTCATGCATATGAAGAACATAATTAATTATTTCAAACAGTGCCTTATTGTAAATGTCAAAACCCACTCACCCAAAAACAGACATGTTTACAACCACGCCCGATCTTCTTGCGTACTTTGTATCTTTAATGAGAATAACATCAAATAAATGACTCATATCGTCGGGATCAAATGCGACGACGCACAGTGCCATGTTGGTAGTATTAGTTGACGTGGCAAGTGACGTTGATAACAGCATACAGTCGTGCGTACTTGACAGAAAGCAATTGACGATTCAAAATTGTGAGTTAATTATATACAGTCAACCCCTTTTATAATCGGGTTATGCCGATAAAACTGTTGTACCTCAGTTGGGGACCTGTCTCAGTTCTGAGTGACTGGGTTCTGAACTGAAACAGTCCCAAACTCTGATACAACAAACCCAACTTGAACTAGACTTAAGTGGAGTTTTTTGTATTTTGATTTTTTATGTATTCATGACCTATCATAATTCCATCCAAATTAGTATTTTGTCAATGCAGGATGCTCGGTAAATTAAGCTTATTTGTTGATAATTATGGATAAATTTGTTTGCAAATAACGTTAATTATTTGACAAATTGTGACTGGAATAATATATAGTTAGGAACAGAAGTTTTTTTATTCCATGGCAGTCCAGTTCCAACTTTAAAACACAAGTCTTCTGCAAAAAATTAAACGACCTGTTACAAGAAGACCCGATTAAAAGTTTTCCGCAAATGACTGGGTCCGAAAAATGTACTTGATAATTCTTATAAATTGATAGGTATCGTCGATTATTAATTCTTACTGGAATAGTAGTTCTAGAGTTAGAGAATATAAATGCAGTAATTGTATACCCAAGGTAAAAGCTTTTTATATTAAAAGGATTGAGCACTTTTGCTTTGAGAGCATACTTTTAATAACAAACGCGCCGATAATTGCATCTTATAAATTTGTGTATCGTTGTGCGTAAATTATAGAAGACAATGAGCAACCATACAGAAACTTTGCCCATTGCGACATTAACAAGTTTGACTCTAGATATCTCCATTTCACATCTTTTTTGGTGTTGTTGTTGTTGTTCAAACTTTCGTATTCTTAAACTTATTTTTGCTAGCCAATGGTGATTTTAATCTTTCAATGCTCTCGTTGCACAATATCTTGTCGATTTTTCAGCCGAGACTTTGCATTCATGCAGTTTTGGTTATTCAAGTAAGACAATTTGGCATAGACAATACAAAGAACCATGCAAAAGACATGGTACAACATCGATAGATCATAGTAGCACACACGCAATCCATTGACGAAAATGGAATTTTAGAATAGGGATACAGAAAGACCACATGTTTCAAATGCGTTTGTCTCTATTTCCGTTATAATTTTATTGGGTTTCACACAATCTTACAACAGTCATATATGGCCCATATTCTATAGAGATTCTAACGATTTATTAGACTTATAAGCATATCTTAGTAATTATAAAATTATGGTTAATATCCGAGATGTAGCTACAATTCTTTCTAATTCGTTGTTCGTCGTAACTGCTTATTTCTTTCGTTTATTCTAAAAGTCCTTAGCATTTTCTTTGACATATTCAGGTCATACCCCAAAAAATACGATCGAATGTCCAACTTTCCAAAAGAAAAAGGCAAATATAAACAATGAATAAAGTGTATATATAACAAAAAGTAAAGTAAAGTAAAGAAAAGAAAAGAAAAGAAAAGAAAAGAAAGATGTATAGTATAATTAAAATGGAAATAAAAAGTATTGTCAATATCCGACGTTCAATACCACTATTACGTTGTAAATTAGTTGTGTATGTCATATTCAGACGATGTGTCAGATGGATACATTATGTATGCATCAGGTACTGCTGCGCTTTCATCGTATAATTCAAACGCATAATGCTCGTCAATGAATGGGAATGGCAGTTGAAAGTGTTGAGTCGGGGATATAGGGCTAGTCGAACAAGAATACGGTACAGATATCTGCAGAGAAAGTTGTTCGTCAATAACAAACGAATTTACCAACGAGTTGGATTCATCGGGTGAAAAATGATCACTGTCAGAGAAGATGAGTTGAGAATAGAGCGATGGTGGTGTCGATAAGCCGCTATAGTCTGAGAGTGGAGATTGTTGCATTGGCTGTTGTTGTTGTTGTTGTTGTTGTTGTTGTTGCTGTTGTGAGTGGAGTGATACTGGGTTTTCAGGATATGGGATACTTAGATATATTGCCGGTACAGACTGTGTCGATGGTATCGTTTCGGGAACAGTATCGGTTGGAGTTGTGTTAATCGGTGACAAGTCAACCGGTGACTGCGACGGTGATAACACAATGCTAGTATCACTATGTTCCAAGTTGGCTTCGCGGTACTTTCCAGTAAATCTATTTTTCCTGGGTTTTCTGCCTGTTCTCCTGGGGGCGTATTTATAGTCGGGATACTTTTCTCTGTGTTTTCTCGCACCTTTTTTCTGCAACAACATAAAATAGTGCTTTCCCTCATCGGATAACAACTTCCATGCGTCTTTCGCCATGGGTGCTAAAAAAGCGGCATCTAATTGACGATTCTGGTTCTCTGCCCGATATCTAGCTTCGAAATCCCTTCTAAACAGTAAAAATCGATTCAACGGCCGAGGGATTTTACTGACTGATTTACGTTTGCCGGGAGCGAATAAAGCCTCTTCGGTGAGTGTTAATTTATACGGGGGGTTTTCTTGAATTCGGCGATCTTCCTCAGTTTCTTGATCAGCTTGGAAAAGCAAAACACCGTCTGGACGTGCGTAGTTTCTGTTGCTATTTGATAAGGTCGATGATACTGATGGGGAACGGTATGGATGATGGCGATTATCTTTGCGTTGATGTGACATTTTTAAGTTCTTTTGCTGTATTTTCGCTTTCTGAAATCGAAATTTTTCGCAAGGCAACATTCGCGTATTTATACTTTCTGTTGCGGAGTTTAGGATTCAAGTTTATTGGTTTCCATGGTCTTTATTTGTTGTACATCGTTGTACCACAGATGTTCGATACTACTACGCAGCAAAATAAATACACCATTAAATTGACTTATTTGTATATTATCTATGTATTATATTGTGTATCCTAGCCTCATTGTCTTGTATTTTTCTGCATATTTAATTGCATTAAATCTGACATCATAATATAGGCCGGTGTGCAGGTCCGATCATCTAAATTTGTACCGTTAAAGCTAATGCGTAGCAATGTTCGAGCACATGTAATCTTGAAAGAACGTACCGTGCAGCACTTTATTGAATCCATACTTCGGAATGACGTCCGACTTTTAAAACTTTGAAATCTTTATCGTTCGATGATAATACGATTCAGAAAGTAGAATGCGAATACATTCTATATTAAATGTCATTCAAATATGTTCGTACCGTGTATTCACTACTACGTCACTGGGTTTTCCCCTTTATTTTCTTGTTCTAGAGAGTATTTCCATCAATTGTAAACTTCGAAGGTCTCCTCCCCCCTTAACTTCTAAAAGGAATTTCGTCGGAACCAATAGCAAGCTATCATCTCGCCCCATCTGTGTTTCTGTGGCGGTGATACAACGCCTCAAACCAAATCAGGCTGGTCTAAGGGGCGCATAATTAATTAGAGAATATTCCACCGAACGGCGATTGGATATATTGTAACACCACTTTCAATGTGGCTGAACTATAAATGTACTAGCCACACTTGTATTGTTTACACTAGCCACAGTTTCAGATGGTGTGGCGTTCTCGAAAACCGAACTTGTTAAGGCCGGAAAAGCGTTTGTCTCGTCTTTTATGGACCAATTTGGGGGTTTAGCGACATGGTGTTTCTTTGTTGTTGAATTGGCGTGAGAAAAAAAAATTGTTTTTTGACTTTGCGACTTCTGCAACCAATAATGAATTGATTCCCATAAATTCACGACATACGAATCGTAAAAAAAATTAAACAACCTCGTGTTCCTTCGGATATAACATTGCCATTGACCCTCGCTTATCAAGTACGTAGACGGTAGATAAGAACTTATGCCTGAATAAACGTAAACCTATGGGTAATCGATATCATTGTATGTCATCAGCAAATAATCGGATGTCGTGAAAGCTAGCTAGTTTAATGAGCTGCATATGAGATACAAAATATAAGTTAATTCGATTAATCATATGGCAAGCAACTTTGTTCAACATATAAAGGACATAAAATAAAGTGTGAATGAACAGTCATCTAATTGAGAGTTCGCTAACAAACACACCGATTGCAAATCATTTCCTTTTATAAGATGAATGCTTATGCAAAACGTCAAAAACTATCATGAAATGGCCGCTTTCTAATATGCGAACTTCTTTTTTTTTCCCAGTCAGTGTTGGACGTCTCTGCGTCTTTTGAAATCTCTGATAAGTTCTGACACATTCATAACGTTTATAATAACCATTTGAGTAAATAGCGATAACCAAAGGAGATGGTTGACAGTCATATTGACCGAAAATACTGCCATGACACTTTGTCATTAACTATGTTATGCTGGTGTTCAGCTCGTTAAAGTCAAACATACAGCTGCTAATTCGTATGATTGCTCACAACATTTTTTCCTTGAAAACTCTCGACTGTCAATTAAAACCGTAAGATGTTTGTTACGTTAGAACCAAATACAACGACGAGTTTTTTATTATCTTGTATCATGCCAAAAATATATGAATTACTACAACATAAGACTCTGGTTATAACGACAGTTGCATAAACCGTCTTCTCCATACAAGGGCAAGTTGTTTGTTGTAATATGATATTGATATTGAACCGAGTTGCTAATTTAAACCGACATCTGCGTCCAACGACAGACACTTTATTACTGCTATTACGCTAAATGCTGGGCGTTAACTCATTCCGATCTATTTCTCTTGTTCTCTCTCTGTGTTGTGTTTTTTCTATGAATATAGTTTCGTTGTCGTTATAACCAGAGTCATTTGTTAGTTATCTTACTAGATAGAATTAATTAACCGCAGTAAGGGTGTGACAGACTCTTATTCGCCAAGGTAAATTGTCATAGATACAGCTTAATCGACAATGAGACAACATGCCATAATGCTGACGGTTTATACTATTACAATGTGCGAGTTGGTTGTAAGAAAGACGGTACATCCAAATTTTATAGCTCGTTAGACAAAATTCATAAACAATCAATGCATTTTGTTTAATGTGAAGACTTTGTTAGGGCGGATATATTGTTGCTCCTTGCAATCCTTAGGATTCCATCGCTTATGTTCTATCAGTTATCATAATAACGCTAGTTTTTTCCTTGACTTGAGCAGTCCATGACTCGTATAGTTGGTTATACAGGCAGGCAATATTACGTCCCATGTTGTTATAGAGATTAATATTAACATTCTTACGACTAACCCATTCTCGAGTTGTTTGCGAAAAGATTCTCAAGTGTCTTTTAATAATGAATAAATTCACTGTCCGGCATCCGCAGGAAGTGGAACAATAGATTGCGTTAGAATGTCTGATGATCTCTACTGCGCTTTTTATATGTCCAATTATCGTTGATTTGCAATGCTTTGCTGCACTTAATTAATTTTAACAAAATGCATTGAAAAAGCATGCTTCGATGTGTTCATCTAGCACAAATCGTAAACAATGCATTACCCCGGTAACCAAAAGGCAAGCTTACTCTATCTGGTTGCTCATTGCCATTTACAATTAGAGTGTCTACGTCTGACGGCATGTTGAAAGCTTCCGTGGAATGTTTCTAGTCACCAGCCCATTCTCAAAAAGTAAAGAATTGACATACTAGTAATTTATTGTTGATGAAAATCGGGCTAAGGTTTTCTGGTCGGATGTGAGCAAAGAATATTCGTCAACAATACTATGGCAGGCGATTATTTCTCTGTACTAAGTATATGCTATTGAGGTTTGCGGGTATTTATTAGACACACATGTATGTGCTATTGATGTTCCAAGGGTTTCTTTCTGCTTGTTATAATGTCGCAGACCGGAGAATTATTTGACATAACACCAGCTATTGACTCGGTTCTTGTTCATGCATTTAATTAATTGTTAGTATAATGCGCCGATGACTCACCACATTTTTATAAAAGACAATGTATGGATATATTAGAGCGGCATGATATTACTTCAATAGTCCCCTCGTAGCACATGTGGTCCTACCCACAAAATTGGGCACTACTTTCTGTCTATGACTTGTGTGTAACATGAATAAGGCTTATTCAACGCAGTTGTAAGGAAATGGGTTATTAGGATTCCGACAAAATAACACAAAAAAAGAAACATTGTATTGAAATGTACCCGTACCGTAAGCCAAAGTCTTATTCTGAATTGACCATACTAATTTGGTGCTGGAATGCAAAATACGGTACGTATTTAACTGTCCCAAGTGCTAATTTTCCGAAATACGTACCATTTTGATTTCGTCTTACCACTAATGGAACATCAAATAACTGATAGGAGTTCGAAAGTGTATCAGCTCATTGAACGTGGATATTGTCTCTGCAAAAATTGTATGAACCAAGTTGTTGGTATAACAACCATACATGCAGGGAATTATAAATTTGAGTTTATTTAAGATTTTAGACCACCAGCCACACACCACCCGCTTTCTCAGAACCCGTCGCCTCTCCATAGACTCATTGTCATCTTACCTCGGCTTTATCAACTTATTAGATACAGCGTTTTCGCTTCAACGAAACGAGAATGACTATTCGTCTCTTTTATTTGTGCAACACTCGATATTGTTTTCGTTCGGGCGAGTGGCACATTACTGTGGCGTTATTGGCAGTGTGTAACGTGGCGAGTAAACATCTTGTTCCCCGAAATCTAACAATACCCCCAAAATTATAAAAGAGCAGGTATTCTTCGGTTATTCTGGTAAACACCAACTTTGTTATTTGAAAAATTAGACGATGCAAACGCAGCAGCATTCTGCACAATCTCTATCTTCTCGTCGCCACTCGTTCTCGTCATCGGCATCATTTTCATTTCCACCAAACTCATTCACAGATAGCGATAGTCATAGAACATCACAAGAATTACTACAAACACAAATACGGCAATTTCCATCACAACAGCATTTATTACAATCAATATTTCAACAATCTTCATTACCAGACTCGCAATTTTGCTCTTCGAAAATGTCAAATATACATTCTACCATAAATTCTACAAGTCGTTCTGCATCGACAACAACAAAAACAATTAGAAACACTACTTCCCATTCCACAATATACTCTGATAACACTTCTGTTCCTGAACCCACTTCATCTCTATCCGACTCGGAAATTCCAACAAACTGTCCATACGACCTGACGCTGTCGATTGACGAACTATTAGCACCAAGCAAACGACCTCGCAACAGCAAAAAACCTCCACCGCGTCCGCCAAACAGTTGGATACTATTTTCTAAAGATTACGCAGCTAGGTTAAAATTACTTTCCAACGGTTCTGGTGCAGACGCTCAGAAAATCGTTAAAAATGCAAAACCAGAGTGGGACAAGCTAAGCGACGATGCAAAAAAGTGGTTTAACGGTCTGGCCGAGATTGCCAAGCGCCGTCACAAGGCCATGTATCCCGAATACAAATTTAAACCTCGGCCACGGGAACGAAGGCGGTCTTCGATGAATCCGCTAGGAAGACCAGAGTTTGCTTACGATCCAGTTGATAAATCTTATGTTTACGTAGATGATGGCAGCAACAATTTTGAGTTTGCGGGAGATAACACAAGTCTAGAAACAATCGTATTACCGGATGATGGTAGAGGGACGAGTGTGCAGAACAACTCGCTTATTCCATTAATTCCAAACTTCAATTTAGAATATTTGCGTATGAACAGTGAATCTTACAATAATCCATTATTTGCTCCAATTTTATATAATGAGAATTATGGAATTACGTCTCCTTCTTTTGGAGATGGGAATGGTGGTGTTTACGGAAATTGATAACATTGTTATTACAATGGGCGTGGAAGACAACCTTTCTTGTATCAACTTTTTATATCTTTGAGGAAAATTGTAGGAACTTTTTTGTATCATAACAACTTTTTATCGCATGTATTACGTGGACTTGTGAATAAACATCAGATTTACATTACGTTAATTTATACATATATATTTATAGAGAAGATTGCTATTGGTTGAACTTTATTTGAGTGATCTGCATTTAGTAATTTCGCCCATTGAGGGGAAATGAACGTTTGGCTTTCTTACTCGTATATATCAAAGTTATTAATAGCTTTTAGCAAGTTTGCAGGACTTGGTTCACTGATCTGACGCTTCTAGACATAAACAATGAAACATTCTTTAGCACTCATACACTCGAATTTGACGGTCGGTTCTTTATATATTATGGGCAGTCCAGTGATAGCTGTCTAACAGAAACCTTCTTGGGCTGCTGTTGTTGAGAGAAAAGTTGTAATGCTGGACGAGAGAGCCTTTCGAATCGCTATAACAGGACTATAGATATGTCAAGCAAATGAATATTGAGACAGTAAGAGCGCAATCACCGTGAGTGTTGAATGAAGCTCTACAAACACCAAGTACGCTATATGTGTCGGAGGCATCTTTGGTTAATGGAGAGAAGGAATGGTCCAGTTAAGTAACTTCACCTAGTTATTCATGACGAAAGAGCATTTGTTTGGCCGGCGTGCGCCTTGACTTTGGTGGGGAACAGCTTTACGGAGCGAGATGGTTTGTTCAAGAGATTGCTGATACGTTAACAAGAGGTTTAAGAAATAATTGTTCCTGTGGATAGTCGCCGTCTTTTCCTAATGTATTGTTAATAGAACCAGCTTCGAATTGTTTCTAAACATGCTATAATATGATGCGTCATACCAGCATATGAGCGACCAGCTCAACATGAATATCCCGTAAGCGACGCTAAAACGTGGTATACATACCGACTGTACAAACCAGTGCTCCGTTTTCAAAGCAGTAGAAGCATACATGAATTAACGCGGTAGCAAAGACATTTGTAGATTTGTTTGCACACACACACGATACGAGGGCATGGACGATTAATTCGATATACAGTATGCATTGGGACCATATGACCGAATCAGACATGACTTGCATTTACGGAGGGTTTGCATTTACAGAGAGTGAAATGCTTAATAGTCTTAAAGGCTCGGGGCCGAATCAGAGAGGGAAAATATAGTGCTTGCAGTTAGAGGGGTTACATTTAGAGAGAGAGAAAATATAGTGCTTACACTTAGAGGAGTTGTATCTAGAGAGGTGCTTGCGAGAGAGGTTATATTTAAATAATAGTGTTTGCACTTAGAGAGGTTATATTTATATAGTGCTTACACCTAGAGGGGTTGTATTTAGAGAGTGTTTGCACTTAGAGGGGTTATATTTAGAGAAGAATATATAGTGCTTACGCTTAGAGGAGTTGTATTTAGAGAGGATTCGCTATACTCATCTTGACCGCCTGAACCTCACTAAGAGGCCTTTACCCAAAAGAATTTCTCGATTTTAGAGCTTTTCTTTGATGATGTTCAACGTTTATTGGACCAGAATTGTAATATTTCAATAAAAGGTTATAATTTGTAAAACAAGGATGGCAATTTTGTGGTAGACGACGTATATTTAGCTTAAACGTTAAACATTGTTGGATATTTTTGGTAAGTAGTCAATGATATTACTCGTTCGAATATTGTCATTGAACGCGCAATTACGTCCGTTCATTTGTCACACAAACAATGCTTTCAATTATACTCGTTGAATTTTTTTAAAAAAATTTTATTGCGACAGACGTTTTGACAGCTGAATGAGTTTAAAATTAAATATTTGTCGGCTAATTTCGTCTCGCTATTATTCGTTAGCAGGCCTCTACACTACCCCTTAGAGTTCTCTCAATTAACCGCTTATTATTATGAGCGTACGAAGATGCCATGCTTGTTCAAACGTCGATGATAATGAGACTCAAACAAGCTAGGTGTCTGATGTATTTCAACGTGAGGACATTAAAAAGTCTTGGCCGCTCGATTATTTGAACTTGTCCTGTTGTTTATTGACAATCGGGTATTTCTCTTTCGGAAGCTATACAGTCAAACCTCGATATAGCGAAGTCAGCGGGACGGGCATTTTTCTTCACTATATCGAAAATTCACTGTATCGAAATCTTTCAATATAGTAAAGTTTATACTAATACTGTTATTGGATCAGAGGAATTCTTCATTATAGCGCGAAATTCACTGTATCAAGACTTTATTATATCGAGGTTTGACTGTAATTCAAGCAACATCCGAATCAATAAATATTAATTGGTACACTGCATACTGTCTTGTATTAACTTCCCAAGCATGGCTCGATGCTTCAATTGTTAAAAATATGGTTGAGCTGCTTGTCTCCCGTAAATGGTCGCGACAATCAATGAGTTGTAAGCTGGTTTCGTTTTCTTACTGTGCGTGACACGCGATCTCGTAATTAGTGGCAATCGTCCGCTAGTGTCGTATGCCTCATCCCAGTGTGCTTGATGAGGTTCTGAACTTGTTCCCATTATGGCAACATGTCAATCTTTGTCTCGACACGGCGTGCCAATTTATCCAACTTCGTTCCCTGCTATTTGTTTGTATTTTCACTTTGCTTCTGAATAAGCTCAGGGCATTGTACGACATTCGTTATTAGACCGAAATGGGAAACAGGAGAAAGACTTCACCTATGTAGAAGACCCATATCTTGCATGAAATATTATGTCTTCCTCGTTCCAAAGTAAGTAATAATTAACCAAACTAACCTTCGGATCATTGTTTCTATTAGCCAATGCAGGAACATTAAAGGTTTCTGTAGCTATGCGCATACGCCGATTTTGGTGATCCCGAACACAGAACGGAAAAACGCCGCTATAGACGTTGGGGGACCTGTCTCAGTTCTGGATTGAGACAACTGAGCTCTGGACTGAGTGTCTTGGTTTCAAACCCAGACACAACATAGACACGACAGAGTTCTTTGTCTGTGATTAGAATCAACAAGGAAATCAATCTCATCATATAGTAAATAATACCAGCCCCCTTTCGCTTACGATGTTATTTACTAGCATCAAATCGGAAAGAATATGCTGTATCAGGATTACCCGATGTTCTTGGCAATAAGGCAAATTTATTGCGATCCAGAATTCAGAATTCGAACGATAAATTTGAGGCGATTTGGTATTAGACACCGGATCCTTAATTCAGTGACATCCGGCTGAGCTGTAAACTGGTATACGTCATCATTACATCAACCATGATTCTGTTACAGTATGTTAAATCTCCTGATTAGTCTGCTAGTTGTAAGATAGCATGTTTCAAACAACGCATTTGTAGTATGGCAAATCCGGTATCTAAATAAACACTCACGTAAATAAAATTGATATCGTAATAATTATTCTTTCCCTCTCATCATTGGTTTTGACATACATTGTCTGAGGATACACCTCTTTCCGAGGCAGAGTTAACCTCAAAGTTGATATCGTCTCATGAAAATGATCGCAAGATAATCAGCATATAGTTACTAATCAGCATAATGTTAGTGTTGCAACCTAAGAATCGCTTGCATCATCAGAGGTCTGGAAAGGCAATCCTGCACACGTAAGGCTCAGTAAAGACTGAACAAGAATAACGTCTCATTGTCCGCTGTGTCCTCTTTTCTCTTGGTTATGATGAAATGTCTTTGCCTATGCAAAGTAAATGTTCTGATCGTCATGCTCGATGACCTGTCACACGTTACATACAACGTTTACATGAATTTTAACGAAAAATTAGCTTTTACTTGTTATTCTAATTTACCATGAGTGAAACTGTGGCGTACTTGTTATTCTAATTCACCATGAGTATTGCATGGTGAAGTTTAATGAATACTTGTTATTCTAATTTACCATGGGCATTGTCTACAAAAAAAGTCATCAAGAGGGAAACACTAGCCACTCAGCCACTCAACCCGGTACAAAATTGGTAAATGTTTCATTTTAATCACGTGATTTGAGATTTTATTGCGTATTTCCCCCCCCTTTTTTTTTTAAAATAGCATAATTTGATACACAAACAGTAACCAGCGGCTCAATGGCCATTCGGACGTTTCATTGCGAACAATACTTTCGCACGTTGTTCTTAGCATTGTAACTTAGGTTTTATATTGTTGAGCAGGAAAAAGAATACAGGAATAATATAGACACTACGAATAAATTAACTAAAATCTTAATTTACTTATGCTTGTAATATAATGTTCGAGAAGTAATTAATTTTTAACTATGAAAATAGCATATCGATATATCGAAAAACGAAGTCGTAGAGGGAAAAAAATTGAAATTCGAGTAGTTCATTTAAATAATACGAAATGGCTGTTCACAGCTGAAAACCGTAAATTCCCCGGTAAAGCTTTCTCGTGTAAACAATGATAAATACTCCTCAAATGACTGCTGCGCATCATACTCTACTGGCCGATCAATAGTTGGAGACTCTTGTGGCGTGAAATAAATGTTACTATCTGGACTGCTGGTAATGTCGTCATAAAGAGCATCGATTTCATCTTTGTTTGCTAGATCACTAGTAAGAATCGTGTCATAAAAGGGCGAGATCCAGTCACCACCCTCAATGCTAGCAACATTTATATCTTGATTAAGATCTATATTGTCCATATTTACATAAGTGTTTGTGGGTTCGTTATTATCAGCGTTTTCTATGCCAGTTTCAGCGCGCACGGTTTCTTCTTTTGATTTACGCCTCTGCGTCGAGCTCGTACGGGGTTTTTTCCTCCGAGAAGAATTATCCGTTTTACATGAAGGATCATATCTGTAATCAGGATACAGAATGTTATGTAGGTTTTCCGCGATTTTCGCAAGAATATTAAAATATTCGGTTTGCTCTTGTGATTTTTCTTTCCAGGCTTTCGAAGCTGACGTTGCTAAACGCCTGCCATCCTTATTGCCTGCATCGTCAGAATTCTTGTACTTGACAGTAAAATCTCTGTTAAATATAATCCAGCTATTCAAAGGACGGGGAGGGGTTTTGCTGTCTCTTCGTTTTTTGCTTGGTGCGAATAGTTCTTCAAACGACATTGAGAGATCGTATGGAGGGTCAAGTAGTATCAAAAATTCTTCGTACGTGATGCCCTTAAACCAATCGAGCTGAGCTGTGCTTCCCGCTTTATGGAGTACGGCTTCCATATCTTTCCATTCTTTGTATTCCGTCGCCATTTTTCGTATATTACTTTGATACAGTTCGAGTTCGTTTGTATTTATTATTTATTAAACTTTTATTCGAGCAGGCATGGAAATCTGCCCCAATTTATATTTTTTCGGCTGTAACTTCAACCAATGACAAACAATGCAATTGCAGTACCGAGGATCTGTCTCATGGGCAGCTTTTCCGCAAATACTAATTTCTATTAAGGGTACTGTATGTCGAAATCGTATCCCTGATCAAATTGAAGTGAATTGAGTAGTACAATGAAAGCAAACCCTCTAAAAAGCTCCATTCCCATTGTTGCTAGATTACTTTGTTGGTTTTTTGGCAGAATCGAATTCATTCTCTCGGAGACAAAATCATTGAGATTATTACTTGTTTATCATTTATGGAAGGCGACAATCATATATTTTTCACTCTTTGAATCTGTCTATTTTCACTATCTTTCGAATCCAGTCTTAAGGCCGGGGACAGAGAAAATATGACACAATTAAGTTTTCACTATCTGTAACCCCTCCCTCGAAATCTGCCTCGTCGTTGGTTTTCTGTTTGCTTCACCCGAGACCGCAGCAGCCTGCGGATTTTGAAATGTGAAAAATACCCAGATTTCACTGTTATGTGGTGTAACGTGACTAACCAACGAAGGAGTAATCCCCAAGGAAGTAAACGGTTTTATTGTTCCAGGCGAAGTTGCAACGTCAATACGCATCGTCCGCAAACCTTTAAGGTTGAGGCGTTGCAGTGACGTAGAAACTGACAAAAGCCCCGGCCGTAGTTTACTATTAGCAGGTACAGTGACCTCGTAAAACTTAATCTGAAGAACCAATAGATCGAGAAAAGAAGACAAACATAAAAGCATAAACGTATACATTAACCATTTATTGGCAATTTGTTAACCATATTCACAATCATAATAGACCTGTTATTATAATTAAAACCATATTTATCAAATACTTGTAAGTTGCGTTACATTGAATGGAACTGAAAAGGAACTGGTGTCGATAGAATCTGTAGATTAATCAACGAACAGCGCTTGGCTATGCGAGGAGAAGAGTTTGTGAGCATGGACAATAGTTTGTAAGCATAACAATCATGTGAACAAGCAAGAAGTAACCACAGTATCAATAATGGTTTTATTAAATGCTGCATTCGGTATTCAATCAAGCGTGTTTAGTACGTGTTTTGAACTCCGATAGAATCTTAAGTATAAATTTGATCCGCTTTACATGTATTTTTAATAAAATACAATGCAAACTAATTGGACATTATAAGATAACTGTCTTTATGGTTTAGCGTCTTCCTTATTATTAGTAATTTAATGACACTTATGTCCCTGCAATTTCCTTTTACGTAAGCAGTTTACTGTTTTATAATCTTGGCTATGTTTATATTTTAACCACAAATGTGATCCGTTACATTTCATTCAGGGCTGTACCAGAGAATGTTGCTAAAGAACGTAAACTTTGTATATTTTTAATTTCTAAAATCATGATGCCGATCTTTTGGCGTGATCTTATATCATCAGATCACACAGATAAAGCTTGTACGCCTCGCATAATAAACACCGGTTTCTTTCCCAAGCTTATCGAATACACTGTCTTTACGTTTCCTTTATGCACTTTATTGACCCATATCCGCTTATTCTAGTACCCAAAAGTGTCCTGCAAGTCTATGAGAATGAGTGATGTTTTGGTGTTTATTTAGTTACAGTATAACATGTCCCAGGCAGGAACGAGTTAAACAACTTACAAGCATATAGTAATAGCGAGACAATACTCGCATCCACATACACCTCCCACTAACCCTAACCACCACATATACTTATATATAACTATCATAGTCTTACTGACTTATTATATATGCCACACTTCCTCTACCATTTCCTTCAATCTATAATACAAACAAGTAATTCCTATTCTATAAGCAAGAAACATATGTTAATAGGAAAGTGGTTAAAACACGATAGTATACAAAAGGGAGTGGTAAAGTGAAACGTTGTAAGTGTCGAATCGTTCACGTTTTTTGAATTCGTAATATTATTATGGTGTGATATTGTTCTTTTTTTTTGTTGTTTTGTGTGTGTTGTAATAACAATTCATATTTCATATATAAATACTGTAGTCATGCCTACGCAAATGTCCACGAGTGAGATAAGAGACTGGAATAAGTTTTGGGCCTACTAAGACAAAGACGACAAGAAGAGAGATCCTAATTATCCCAGTTGGAAGGTTAACAAAAATATTTACTTTTTTCAACGCACGATATCACAGTCATTAGCAATCTCACCAGTTTGCAGCCATATTGCAGACTTTTTTTTTTTAGCTTGACAGAGATTGACTTTGGAGACACTGTTGAAAGTAGTCCAGTTGAGGATCCAGTTGCTTTTCCAGCTGCTGCTGTTGCAATTGGTATTGATCCAACTGAGACTGCGGTTGTTGCTTTTCTGCTATTTCACTCTCGTGAAATTCGCTGCAAAACCTGGTTCCATAGTATGCGGAACCCACACCAGGTGGCGGAGCAGACAGTTGAGCAAGCGAACACGAAAGTGGTGAATCAATTGCAGAAGTCTCTTGTTCATATAGTTCAAAGTCAAAGTATTCCATTTCAATCTGTTCGTATAATAACGCAGATATGTTTGGCAAACCATACTGCACAAACTCATTGGTAAAATCACATGCATTCACACCACTATCAACTACATCACTTCCCACACCATCCCCCACCCCATCAATACCATTGTCAATCATATCATTGCTTACACAAATTCCATGACGATTAAAAGGGAAACCAAACTTATCGATATTCATTAGATCACTGTTACATATTTCACTGACATCTTGATTGATGAAGAGCACATAATTATCATTGTTGGACAAGAGCTGAGGATACGCTGTCGTGTCAAACGTCGTGTCAGGAGAGCCGAATCGATGGAATGGATCAGGGGACATGATCGTCACATCTGAGACTGGCGCAGGAAGCAAATCCGACTGCGGTGTCGGAAGAAAGTCTGTGGAAAATGCTGTTCCCACTTTGCATTCTTCCATTTCTGGACTCGTTTCGCTCTCTTGTTGTAAGTATTCTACTCTTAATTCGTCTACCTTTTCTAATTCTATTCTTATTCTCTCTTCTGCGTCTATTCTCTCCTCAACACCGATTCCTTTTTCCGCATCAAGTTTCATGCTTTCACTCACTTCACCCACCTTCCTGTCGTCGTCTTCCTCCATTACTTCACACTGAGCACTAGCACTTCTTGGGTCTGGTTTGAATACCCATTCTCTTTCCTTTGGCGAGGTCTTCTTTGGCGAGAACTTGTATGCTGGGTATATCATTTGGTGTCTAACCGCTGCCACCTTCGCCAATACTTCAAAGAATTTTGCAACGTCTCTCCCGCCCGTCTTCCATGCTTCACTTGCGAATGATGATATCTTTCTCGCAGGAGTGGTTGGAGAATGCTTTCTGTACCTCGCCTCGAAGTCTTTGCGAAACAGAATCCACGGGTTTTGGGGACGAGGAGGAGAGCGAACTGCTCGACAGTTACTATTGGGGAGAAGCATGTCGAGGGAGATCGTCAGTTTATACGGAGGATCGTTGAGAATTCCTATGTCGGAGGTGGTCAAGTGGGTGGAGTAGAGAGATATCAAGTCCTTTAGAGATAGGGACGATGGAGAAGTGGGCGAGTAGGGCTGCATTACGGTATGAATGAGCAGTGTGAAGTATATGTGTGTGTGTATGTATGAATGTGTGTTTATAATGTGCGTTTATAATGTGTGTTATATAGTCATAAAAATTCGGTTTGATTAGTTTTTCCAAGTTGTTTCGGTTGAATCGAAAGAAAAGATGTCAAAGGGCAAAATTCTCTGTAAAATTTTCTGGTCGGTTTATGTATGCTGGTGAGGTTACACTGTGCATATTAACTTGTGCGCAGCATCTGTATTAAATATGATTAAAATAGATTGCGTAGTAGAAGCGATAGTTTGGGGCCCGATTCACTGAAGACAATACTACGAATAAAACGAAGTGAATAAACAGTTGCGGTCTACGGCTTGCACACTATTTGACACATAAACTCCTGTGCGTTATTACGTGAAGCAACGTAAAAGTCTTAATTCACAATCACATGAAGAGTGTAGCCGTTCGCTCATTGGCGTATACTTCATTGTCATCATGTACAAATTTGGACAACTCCAAGTGAGAACAATCAGCGACGAGACTTTTATGGAAATTGTTGTGATAACCGTGACACAAGGACGAAAGTTCACGTTAAATACCTTCCCCCCCCAACAGCAGGTTCTGTTTAACAGTATTTAACTCTCTTACATTATCAAAGTTTATTAGAGTCGAACTCTTGGTGTTTCTCTCGCATTTCTTCTACCCACAGGACTAGTTATAGTATGCACAATCGACAACCCTTTTTGAAAAACTAGCATACGTACGTTGAAAACAAACAGGTTCTATTTATTATATTCTTGCTAGCTCGACATAGCAGACAAGAGCATAAAACTAGATCATTTCGTCAATTCAAAGTCCGCATACCGAATATATGTAAGACAATATTTCAAACTGAGAGTTTACTCGCTACAGATACCAGTTATACTTAAACCAATTTAAGCTTTCTTTTCTGTATCTGTCGATAGTCTTATAATGTATATTATTTTGTGTACCGTAATCGCTCTCTGAGGACAGTTTGTAAAAGGACCTCGGGTTTAACGTCATATTAATATGCTTTCGGACGATCTTGTCCAATTATTAAAAATAAGTTGACTGTGTTGCAAAGAAGATTTCTTAATCTGGCTAGCAAGTTTCATAATCGTAACATAGTGATCAGTTATATCAGATTTCGTAGTTATATAAATGCAGAACAGCTTGCTACGTTTCATTATTACTGACGGACAAATTGACCATGTCTATCTTTCGTTCAATCAAGCCAGCACCACAAAATTACACCCGTCCCTCTTCTTCTGTAATTTCCCCAAAACTTTCCATCTTTGATTTTATCGATACTCTAACCCCACGCGAACGCAGTCTCGTGTTCAACCCACCTTACGATCTCAAAATTTCTCTCGAAGATCTCCTCTGTTCAACACGGCAGCAACAAAACAGCCGAACCAAAAAAAATCCTCCCCGTGCGCCAAACGCATGGATCTTATTTCGTAAAAGTTTCGCAAACGAATATCGTGCACAAAATCCCGACAAGCCGTGGACAATGCAGAAAATTTCCACGTTGGCTAGAGATAATTGGAACATTCAGTCGAATACTGTCAAAGAATATTTTGCTACGCTTGCTAAATTGGCTCTACAACGACATAGAGCTACCTATCCTAATTACTTGTACCAACCGAGAAAAACCAAGCAGGATGAAAAAAATCAAACCTGGCTGTTTAGAGAAGTGAATAGAGACGCATTTGTAAAGAATAAAAACGACAAAGCGGAAGCGGACAGCGAAAATGGAGATGTCGTAAACGAAAGTTGCAGTTGCGACAACAACAACAACAACAACAACAACAACAACAACAACAACAATGATGCTGATGAAAGCGTTGGTGAGCAAAACTCGCAATATGAAAACAAGGAAATCATGGCTGTTGACAAACAGTATTACAACCCGCAATATGACAACAACAAGAACTTGAACAGTAGCGTCGTCACTGATTACTCATACGCTGATCATTGTAATAATATAGCGATCAACAGTTATTATTATATTCCTCATAATAATAACGTCGTTGATAATCTTCCGTTGAATACGCACCAAAATACGGATAACGACTTGTATTATAATAATAACTTTTGGATCGAGTTTTACCATATTGATAATAACTTGTATGCATATAGTTCAGATGGTATCGACCAAATTACTTGGGATCGACATCTATAGTTCACAATATATTCGTATTGTTTGAATGTTCTTCAACACTTATGCGTTTATTCGCATATTAATGACCTTCAATCTATTTCTCTTTTCTCTATATTTGATCAATATGCTAATAAGCAAAAAATATGTGTCACTTTCCTTTCACGTGCACATAATTAATAATGCATCCATATTAAGCTCAGAAAAATGTATTACAAAATATGGCATGTCTTAATATGATATTAATATGCGACATAATAATAAATATATCGTTATGTGATTTGCTGCAATGTGCTTTTTTAGTTAACGCACTGGTGACTGGTGTTTTCTGATTGACCGATTGACCGATTGATCATTCAACATGCATTGTTCATATGACCATCAAGTCGCCATGACTTGACAGTAAGCAGATACAATGGACGTAGTACAAATATACTGTACACAAGCATCCTTCAATGAAAGGCAGTGACATATTAATATGCCGATACTCACACGATCGATAAATAGAGTTTCGCGCTACAGAACAGTTGTCCTAGGTGACCTAAATTTACTAAAACCCCCCAACTTTCAAAACAAGAAAACGCCTGTGTTCAAAGACAAAACTGTGAGCATCGGTTTCGTCGAGACTATCCTCTGTCGATGAACAATTGGCGATGTTGGTGACAGACAACCGGTCTTGATTTTGTCAATACGCACAACAAAAGCAACTTTTTTCCTTCGAAATCCAAGAATGAGGGTGTGGTAATTACGTAGCAAAATTCTTGATGCCACTGTTAGTTGGGGGTTGGGGGGTAATTATTACGTAACGTTGACAGCTCAATTTATCACATGACCGCGTATAACACTTTTGAAACGAACAGATCCGTAAGGATAAGCTTTTGTCGTCTTACAAAACTTGATAAGGTTTCCGAAGGACGAAATCGATACATTTTAATGCTATACCGTGAATATTAGAATACAGAGGCGTGCCAAAATAATACTGTAGTAGAAGTTTGATGAATATCAATGGGAAGAGTATATCAGATCGCATATTACGCGAATTGAGATTTTAGAATCCGGCTTTATGCAAGCCGAAAATTGCCTTAACATGTAGCGTAACCGTTTAGTTACAGAATATGTAATTAAACGCTTTCAGCGTTTTGGTTGAGAGCGTAAAACGCCTTGCCTTCGGAACGTTTGAGTGCATATTAACCCTACCCTCCCCTGGCAAGAAGAAATGGCAATTCGATCAACAAGGAACAATCCGTTAACGAATATCTTATTCCAGATACGTTTCTTGGAGACTACGAATGATTACCTTAGAAGATGATGAGATCAGCGAAGTATGTCCCGGGGGGCGCCTACTGAATCAGACGTGAATGATAACGGCACGGACAATCTTTATATTATTTACTCTTGGTCCAGCCAATAAAACTTTTACAAGCCACGTTAGAAATAGGGTAAGTTCAGACCAAGTTTTTAATATTGCTTTGATTTATCAAAAGCGGTCAGTTTAGTCCTTGGAAGTCTGGTAACCTTTTGATGTTGTTCTATCGCTGGATATGGATTTCGAAACCTGAAGAACTTCGAATGCTAAGATCCCGAGGGTTTGAATAAGACAAAAGTATGCACTAGCTCATAATGAACTATCATACAAGCTCAAAAGTTAAGGCGTTTTTTTCTTGACAATCTCTGAGTAGAACATATCTTTTACGCTTGATGGGATTTGACAATCCGTTTTGCTTGGTGGAGCTAGATGTTCTTATTACCATTAACATTCTCAGGAAAATCGTTTTAAACCAAGTTTCATATCGGAGACGTTATGAGAATTATACGCAAAAGATAATCTCCCACAAGACTAAGTTGTTTGTGATTTTTTCGTAGCGGGAACCGACGCTGTAAACTCGGTGTAGATAAAAATATGCATTATCCATGGAAGTCTTATATTGTGCCAGTTTCATCATCCAGAGATTTACTATAGCAGGAACCTAGTGAATCGTTAAAACGTAGCGTAATCTGAACCGGCCGTGTACGCAACCGTTTAAATAGTTCTTGAATATCCAGAGGGTCGTTCAATGGTCACAGATCAGGACTTGAGTTTTGACAGCTAGTCATCTCCCTGGTTTTATTGCAGTTTTGGATTGACCGAGTCGATAGATGTTGCTCTGTATGTATAATCTCTAACATTCCGTCTAAATGGAAAAGGCGTTAGGCAGAGGAAAAGATACTCCTCCGATAATAAAAGATGGAAAGATTAAACAATTACAAAATGCTTTATTCGTAAAAGATGAGCGTCGTCGTTTCATTAGGAGGATTAAGGAAGAGGATACTGATAAAGGTTGATTGGCTAATGGCAACCTTCAATTTAGTATTAATAATGATGAAACTTTTTTAGCTTCACCCGTAATCTTTCTGCTCTTCTACATCAAAAAAAGAAAAGAAAAGAATCCTCCGGCTTAAAAGGAAATTTGTCAAGAATATTTGCCTGTGGAGCAGTATGTTGGCATGAGAAAGACAATTATTAGAGAAGTGATCCAGCAGGACAATTAACAAAGAAAAGTGGCTTAAGCTCGAAGAAGCTATGACAATCTGGTTTGAGTGTATCTTCCTCAGAAATCAAGATATTTACATGCTGAACGAGCCCATTAAGTCCGCCAAACGACTTGAAATTGCAGATTTCAAGACATCTAAGGCTTGTTGGTTGGCTTCAAAACAACATGAATCTCATCACATCTAAAGCGGGGTCTTTCTCAGGGAGAGATCAACAAGAGCATTTAAAGCTGCAACAAATTACAGTGGACTGGCCACTAGGAAACATCTTTAACTGCGACAAATCTCCACTAAATAAACCGTCGTGTTTCTCTATTAGTGGGGTACATTATTAAAAGCATGAATTACGATGATGAATGCTACCAGATCAGAGAAGCTGCCACCAGTCTTATCAGCAGAAAAAAGCAATTAAAGGGGAACCATCATCACCTACCTGTTGACTGGGTGCAGGTTACTTGAACAATAACAATAAGTTAGACTTACTGTTCTAATTCACGTCCTCATTTAATCCCGGTATTAAAGTACAGTTGCGAAGAAATCGTTGACAAGTTCGTATAATAACCGTCAGAACAAAAGTCTAAATCTTCCTCGCGTCATAAATCTTGACTAACACGTTCTCCCGCAAGCGAATGTTGACAATGGTGTATTAGATAAGATTGCATGTGATGTGTCACGTTGCAAATCGAGTTTTATTGGTCATTAAATTCACTTACAAAGATAGTGGAAAAAGTCAGCGTAAAAAGGTTGAATTAGTTGCAATAAGTTGCAATAACAGCTACAGCTGAATCACTATATCTACATGCCAGTTTCTCATGGGATTTGGCCGACAAACGTTTCACTGTACGATGAAATGCGTCTATTTTGGTTACACTTCAAACGACTTTAGTTCCTGAATATGCAATCCCAAAGCGACCACTTCCTCGCTATAATGGTTGCTTTCTCGAGAGCGAATATACGCGTTTCTCCTCAATTTGAAAGAGCAGACTAAAAAAATCCAGCAGCGATCCATATAATACCGTGCCATTATAAAAGAATATGTATCATACGAGAGACGACAAAGTTGTACACAACTTATGTATCACAATATGAAAGACAGAAGGGATTTGTACGATACGGGCATGCACACTTAAACCAGTATTTTGAGTTGCTCAACTTTGATCTTTCGACAAGATGTGTTTTAGTTTGAAAGAGGTGCTATCTCATGAAGACATCCGTTTTATGCGGGAGTATCTACGTCAACATGGCGGTAGTCTTTTCATGAACCTTGAGGGATTGATAAATCGTCCTACAAAACAATCAAAAAATAAAAAAAGGCTAAAGAAAGACGGGAAACTGCCAAAGCCACCGAACCCATGGATACTGTTCTATCGGAATTATTGCGCGAAGATAGCGAAAAGTAAGCTTGCAAGTCACCTCGAACAACGTAATGTGAACGGGAAACGCACAGTTGTCCGGAATACCGAAAACGCCTCGGACGAGTGGAGCGTATTGGAGCCACATCATAAGAGATTTTATGAACTGTTGGCGGAAATTGCCAAGTTCGTGCACACCAGCATGCCGTCAAGAGAAGAGATTTCTCAATGGCTAGAAAGTATTGGCTACAAGCCACCCGACAGCAGAGAATGCGACAACGGTGGTCAGCTATATGTGGGCAATAGTCGTTTTGGCCTCGCTATGGTACGCATGCCGCTAACTACCAGCGTTGATGGAATGAACCCAGGCAATAACTCAATAAGGCTGTTGTTGCAAGGACATCCTGAATTTCGCACAGCTCCCACGATTGCAAATATTGCCTATCTTGCTACGAGTCCGAATAGTCTTGCGGCATCAACTAACCAACATCATGAGCAGAATAATATTCTTGGTCCGTATCCGGAGTTTCATACTGACGAAGTTGCTGACTCATCGACTCTCACAACTGCACCGCCAGTCTACGAATATGCAAATCCCTTTCCGGCGTCAACTGGACAACAACATTACGAGGGAGGCAGAAATTTTGTGGAGGGTCTGGACCTTCCTACCGGCGAAAATGCTGCCCCTCCTAATCTCGCAACTGCAACCGCTGAACAAGATAGTTTTGATGGTTACGTGAAAGGTTTGGAGCTTGATCATTCCGAATTTTCTGAACCTCTCGCTGATCTTTTTTAGTTTACTAAATGAGTAGCCGGGCCAGAATACAAAATATGTTTCCGATTGTGTCTTCTTTATTATTATTATTATTATTATTTAATTGTGAATAAACGTTGGCTCTTTAAAATAATATTTCTCATGGTACCTTGTTTAATCTCCAGTCATCCTTTATTGAGAATCATATTACCGTCTTCATGATTTTGACCCGCGTGATTTCTGAAAGGAGTTTGTTATCTGATCAGAAGGTCGAAACGCCAGGTATCATTGAAATTTGCATTAGACGTTTTCCAGCCATACCAGTAACATGCAATCTAAATTGAAACGGAAGGGACACTCAAGAGGATCACTGATGATTTCTACCTTAAACTGGAATCCATCGAATGGACGTTTCACCGGGCGATCAACAGTACAAATCCCAGATACATTAACATTGATGCGGCAAGAACGTTCAGGCAACTAACCGTATTGTTCACGTGATAAGTTTAGTCACGAGACCGAGCAACATGCTTCCTATTAAACGTGTCGGAATTACCGTGCTTTGTGAAAATTAATTTGGTTCGAAAGTATTGTCTCCAGTTGTTATTAGACAGGCCATTAGGACGTTAAACATAGAAGAAGAAAAGTAATAACCGTCAACGAAACTTTGAATTCGAAAGAGCTTTTATAAATGTCTACTAATTTTTTCTCATGTTGCACTGCATACAGAAAGACGAATTAATTGGTGTGTGTATTTAGTCATACATGATTAATAATAATCAAGTAACACAATCTTTCTTGAATGCTGGTACTTACATACGTTCTGTACTAAACTAGGTCACCTTATTAGACTTTTAAAGTTCACATTTCAACATCTTTCACGATGAAACCACGTATATATCTGCTATATCCCCTCTTTGGTATACTTCGACGAACTTCTTCATAAGAATCGTTATCACAATTACTATTGTTAATATGCAGTATATACGCGTTACCACTTTTGGAAGGTTACAAAAAGATCTTTCAGGTTTTTTTTTCCACGGAGATAACGGGATAATGCTATACAGAATGAAGCTAATATAAGGTTAACAAATAGCAAGGGAAACTCATATCTTACTTAACTGCAACCATAATTTAGCTTTATTCTAGTATCGCTACAGTAATAGTTTACTGCAATTAGTATACTGAAAATTGTCCAACTCTTTAATACGCATGTTCCTGGGAATAAAGAGATTGCATTGTCTACGCCAACATTAAGTGGGTATCAATTCAATTACCAACACATGCTTTTCTTTGAAACAGTCTTATTATTGCTATACCATACGCTTTTCAGATTTAAATTTTGAATGGAAATTCACTGCCACAAATTTATTACATTAGCTTTGCAACTTCCCTCCCAATTATGTGACTATGTACGATACTTTGAGTTTCACGCGTTCGTGCACAGGCTACAATTTTATTGTTTTAACTCTATATCGATCTTATGTAGCTCCTATTCCGAAAAGAACATAGAGATATTCCAGTTGTTATTAAACAGTCTCACTTTACTCGAGATTGAAATGCTTGTGCTATTGATTTGGTTGAATTAACTTTAACTGATCCAGAATCAAAAATAACGTTGGTCAAGATTACGTTTTTAAATATGAAAGCTTGGAAGACTTTTGCCTCAGCAAAACAAGTTAACTTCTATCTAATAATAACATTAGTATTGATAATCTTGATAATCTTGATAATTAAGTCTCTACTAATACAATACAAATAACGAAAAATAACGAAATTTAGTTTGTTATTCTCAGTATAACATATAATTGGTTTCCTCCATCTTGTTGTCAAAAAATATGTTTTGGCTGTGCCCTACATCCGGAAACTCTGTATATAATTGTAGGCGAGACCCTTATTTTTGTGTCATCCCTAGCATTAGAGTAATTTGAGGAGAAGAATATCACTTGAAATCTAGAGACAGTCAGGCAACGAAAGAAAAAAGAGGCAAAAGAATAAATTGTTTAGATAAATAACGTACTTTAAAATAAAAATTCCAGATCTAGGCAATCACAGTTTACTAACGTTTTAGGACGTTGGGCTTAGGTACGTTAGATAAATGCTATTATGTAGATAACGTCAACTGATTTGTGGAAACTTCCGATATGAGAATCTAAAGTGGCAAGGCGCCAGAGGGTGAAGTGCCCAACATAAGTAATTGTTAAATATCAGAAATATAAAGTGAGGGTAATTATATACATTATGTAGTCAGCAATGCCATCCCAATCAGCATAAAGCAAAAGGCATATAAATTACACGTACAACACAATAGAAGCCTTTGGGTTAAATTAGGAACAATATTTATGCTTTCAGAGATATTACAATTATAGCTTTATTTAAGATGCGGTTTGCTGCAAGTTAAATTGGGGCTTCAAGCATGCGGATATCTCATAATACATTCTACTCATGTAAGTTTGCCTCATAATAGTATGATTATTCGTTCAAACACGTTAGACTGCTAATTCTCGATACATAACAACCTGGACAGAATTTTAAAGTTTCACAAATAACAGAACACAAAATTTCATACCACTTGTGAATACTTTATGATAATTGGATGGAGTAAGGTATGATGATTAAAAAGTCTGTCATATTAATACATTACAAAAGCCAAGTTATACATTATAAAATTAAATTTAAGAATTGAAATTTGAAAACATTAAAAAAATTATATAGTCAAAGTCATTCTTTAATTGATGCAACAAACAACTTGTTAATAAATACGTTTCGTCATAACATGCATACGCGTTTTTTATTGCAAAACTGTTCACGATACACTGATATATATTTGAGTATATAATTATCCAAATACATATCTGAAAACTTTGTGAACATTTTAAATATATATAACGTGATAAGTATTAAAGACTAATTTTATTACATATTTTAAAACATGTACACTACCTGAACAAAAGTATTGGTCACCCTAACTTTATTAATTGCTCAAAAGTGTACATAATAATTGGGACTAAAGTTATAGTCTAACTAATGTTCAATGATCTTTTTACTCTTTTCCCTCTACCAGTTTTTCAAACACAGCCAATAATAAAAGAATTGTCTTTTGGTACAGCTAGATAGAGTAAATGGCCAAGAAAAAGGCCAAACCCAAGGCCAAGAAGAAGCAGTCTTATGCAGAGGCCACTGGTGGGGTTAAAACTCCATTGGTCTTTGCTAAGACCACCTGCAACCTGAAAACTCCTCCAATGTATCCAACCAGGAGGATTCCAGCGACGAAGGAGAAGAACTCCTTCTTCATAGACCTAAGGTCAATGGATGCAACTGACCTGGAAGTAGCCAAGGCCTTAGAAAAGCAATGCAGTGATCAGTGGAGTGAACTACAGAGATGACCTATTACTATTAGTATGGGTGAAAGACATTCAACAATATATGATCTTTCAGACATATCCCGAACCAGAACCTTGGGTGACAGATACTTGAACATTGCAACCAAGTCTAGTAAGGTGTGCCTTATGAAAAAAAAAAAGAAATCTCGATTCTTCGCGGAAAATTGCATAAAGTTTTTCAGTTATTGGCCTCTTTAAAATTGATTTGTTTTTCATCTTGAGAAGTTTTCGATTTTTTCATATAAAGTACTTTCTGTTGTTTCCTTAACAAGATGTATTGTTGTGTTGAAGGTGCAAATTATATGTGTTGAAATCTGATCATATGTTGCTTTCGTTATAATTGGCCTGTATGGTGATATAACTGGAGGATTTCCATTCCGGGTTGTCCAGTTTGTGGGACGGAACATCCGTTCATGATATGGATCCGAAATATCTGAATCGGAAATTTCGGCATAATCAATTTCTTCTCGTTCTCTTAGACTATACCTTCTCGTATGTTCTTCCTAAAGAGGTCATAAAAAAAACAAGTTAGAAAGATGTTTCATACAATCGATCATTTATAGAAACCTACCTCAACTCGCTTTTCACCTAAATTTTGTTCGTTATTAATCGCTTCTGTGTTTTTTTTTTCGAACCAAACTTTCTTGCCTATCACGTTGAAGGGTTGAGTATATAGCGGATGTAGCGGGTTTATTCTGTTATAGTAGACAGGTTAACGTTCACGTTTGCTGTGTACCTTGTTATATTGCCGTAATACATACGTATCTCATACCAACAAAACTGAACGTTCGATTTCATTTGCCACTTTCTTCTCTTGCGCTAACGTAACCGTCTTCCAGAAGTTATCAATCGATTTTGACTTTTTTTCCTTCTATTAATAAAAAAATAAATCAAATTTGTAAGAAACGGAATCACCCGAGTCTCAACTCACAAGCTCCCAATTACAATCAGAAGTGATAGATTTTAATGAAAAAATGTGTAAACATCCACCCGAGTCGCAACTCAAGCATTCCCAATCGCAATCAGTAATGTTGGGTGGTTAAACACATTTCGTCAGGAACAACCACCTGAGTCGCAACCCAAGCATTCCCAATCGCAATCAGGAATGTTAGGTGGTTGAGCATATTTCGGCAGGACGGAACTACCCGAGTCGCAACTAACCATCCCCAATCGCAATCAAGGATGTTGGGTGGTTGAACGCAGGTCGCAACCCCATTCAAAAAGGCTATTGCCATTTCGGACCCATCCGCTGCCAACAAAACACATCAAAAAGTAATACTTAACTTGTAACAAATTAAGCGCGTCGCCAGCCAGTTTAGTCAATTCCGGGGATGCTTGTTCGTGGCTGAGTATACTAGCAAGGCTACGAGTATATCGGTTGTGTTCCTCAGGTTTTTCGGCACAGAAATCAGAACTTTTTTGTCGATATAACAGAAAATTTAACAGTGTCCACTCGCGGTCCAAAGTAAAGAATCAGGATCATCTAACGAGATTTCTAACAGTATAAAAAGGAACTTTAGAAATCACAGAGTTTCAAATAGACGTGCTAAGAAAGTAAACTTGCCGTTGGTTACGTGAGCAGAAGTCGACATGTTTACGAAAATTTTGTGCACTTGAAACGGAATAATGAATTGAGAATTTGTAAAATTCTAAAAAAAAAAAAAGGTGACAAAATGTCACGATCAGACTTGCCGATCACCTTCACACTGCTGGGTTCGTTACTTGCCGTTATCCTGTCTTTTAACAAACCCACAATGATTTCAATTATTCGTTGTACACTGTTTTGAAGAATATCGATATTTTCTTTAATCGCGGTTTTTGAGAGGTTTATTTGATATTCAAAAGTTTGAACTAATAAAATTACTAGTGCGTTCTTTTTCGGAACGCCGATCATTTTTGCCAAGAAAAAAATAATTTCGATTGATATGTTTTAAAAAATAGGGTCAAAGACCCATTACACTGTAATAATAATTCGAATGATTCATTTTATTTAATGATTTAATTAAGCAAAATAGCGAAGCTATCACGGCTAAAATAAAGATACATGGATAATAATAAACAATATTGTTTTCTTACGGTAGAGTTGCAAGGGAGAGAACGTACGGCCCTAGACCATTATTATACGTCCCTTTACTTTGGCTCTACCAGGTTGAAAAGCTATTTATTGTTATTATAATTTATTCTATCATCGGTATCATCGCCACTAACTTCATTAATATTATTATTATCGTTGAATGTAGATTTATTTTTTCCTTTAGTCTTGAGCTCGATCCAAGATTTGATTGCTCCTATAATCCTGCCGTCGGATTTCGTTGTTTGATTATAATAATTCTCCACCGCCTTGTTCGATACAACCTTTATTTTCTTCTCCTTTCTAAGATCACTTACAGCTTCGGCAATCATATCGGCTTTAGAATAATCGTTTTCTCGCATGGTCTCGTCGAAAAGGTTTTTAAATTTCTGAAAAACTGGATCTGAAAACGAAGTGCGTCTTGAACCTAATACGATACAAAAATATTAATTTACATGAGTCTCTCAAAGTAACAGATATTTATTTATACGTTGAAATAATCTTACCTCGAGAACTACTTGAAAAATTACTCGAATTATTAATTAGGGTATCTTCTCCATATGATCTTTGTTGGAACTCTTCATAAAACAAAGAAATTTTTTCGGTAAGATCATCTATCTTATTATAGATTTTGTTGGATTTGTTTTTTCGTTTCTCTTTTAATAATTTGGGTTCCATATCGATTTGTTGTTTGAAAATATAGAAAACAAAGCATATGATGACAATGAATAGGTATATAAATAGTTTTTCTCCAAATATCAACGTTACGATGAGGGATTAAAATAAAATAACTCTCTAATGGCATTTTTATGAGAGCTTCGAAAAATTCAGTTGGCGTCATCTAAAATAATATCAGTCAGCCTGGTGGTTCATTTATAATACAACGAGATACAAATAGTCTATTGAGAAGCAGGCCATTAGGCGATGAATCGGAGATTCGAGACTCTGTCTCTTCTTCGAATCGTGACCCTTCGGGTCTACATACCTTCGATTTTGACAATGTAAGAATTATATTTGAATATGATTTACGTTTTGATTTATTCGATTAATTGTTTGATTATGCGAAGCATGAGCAAGGCTCTATATCGCGCGACGATAATTTTGTTAAGGACGGCCTGCAAATTTAACCCTAGACAACGCACGTTTTTATATCTGTAGCTCGTAAAACTGTGTCTCAGACACTAGCTCTGCTATATCTCACAGTAAAGGCGATCAATGTATCTTAATTTCACAAAACAAAGATGAATTAGCTTAGTTTCTTGCACATCTCATACGTATGCCTTTTCTTAGCATGGATTATATCTGGTTTATTCTATGTGATCACGGCATTGGTTCCCGCCTTCTCGTGACTCCATCACTCGATTACAGTTAATTATATATCTTTACTTAGATGGCTATATATCTTTTTTCGAACCTGTGAGAAAAAAGGATTTCATTCTAAAGTAATTAATTCGTAGCTTCATTAGCGGAGCAAGTACCAAAGGTGCTATAAAGTCGAACGCAAAACAAGATTCATGTTGGGCAAAATATTACGGTTAATGAACCAACTATCAGTTAATGAATTAGGAATCGAAATTTAGCTCGTGATCAGCAATTCCACTAACATGATTCGTTTACAAAATTTGTAGTCATTGCTTTGCAAAGACAAAATCGCAGAAATTAAGGGGGGGAATCTGCGATGCGCCGAAATTAGTGACGTATTTTTTCCTCTATTTCTGCGTTCCTCTGACGATGCCGCAGCAACATTTCAATCGGCAGTTACACCAGCGCAAGCTGCGGAAATCGGTAACAGTGGTACGAATAATCGTATACCAGAGAAATAGCGACTAAAAATAGCTCAATTAGAACGATCGAAAGATATATAAACAGGAGGAATTTCACCTAGAGTCGGTGTGTTATGTGCGTTATATTTCACGTTCGCTAGTGAATTTAGATCGATATATTCCTTATAATGTATATATTATTGTTAATAAACGAGTATCGCATTTACTCTGAACAAATACTTTTGTCCATAGCAAGCAAGACAGTTGCTAGAATTGTTTCTCTGTCTACGTAACAAACTTTTTGATATAAAAGTCAG